TTAAGTGGCAGAGATGTAACACCTAGCTTATCACTGTGCTAAAATGATTTGAAAACTCTATTTATTTAGTCTTTTGACCGCCCTAAATTTACATTAATTTACACTATTCTCGAGATACGTGATTTTAATCTATTTTTATTTTTATTTTTATTTATTTTATTAATTTTACTATTATTTTTATTTTTATTTATTTTATATTATTTTGTTTTATTTCAAAAAAAATTAGAAAAAAATCAAAAATTGGGCAAAACGAGAGAAAACCGGCTCGCGAAGAAAAATTCCTCAAAAAAAAGGTTTACTTGCGCGGGTGCTGGGCACAATACACGCGTGTAATGGACGCGAGGTGTGCGCATAGCACGCACGACCCATCCGCACGCCAACATGCATGGGACATGCTCATAGCGCACACGTCCCCTCTGCACGCACAACGCAGGGTCAGGACCTACGTGCGCGTCCTATCACGCGTCATTTCGCACACGGACTACCGCCGCACACTATGCGCATGGTGTCTGTGCTACAAGCGTGCGAGGATAGGCATTGTGCGCCTGGGACCTGCGTGCGCAAGCTAACCCCTATGCGCGCGGCAACAGGCATGTGCGCCTGCAGCACGCCTGTCGAGCTCTGCCACCTTGAGTAGAGCTATGTCGCTACCTTAGGTGGCGTGCCACCGTCGCTAGTGGAAGAAATTTTCTTCTCTCGTTTCCTCTGTCAAGAATCTTTTCTTCCTCTTTCTTCAACGGATTTCGCCACTTGGCGCAAATCCAACGGTTTTGAAATTCAATAAATTGCCCTTCCCCTTCCCTTCCTCTCCACACTTCCATTTCTTCCATTTTTTAAATATTTAGAGAGAGAAAGAGAAATATAATAAAATAGTGAGAGAAGAAGAAAATGAATGGAAAATTGTGAAGGAGAAAATATTGAGATTTTGGTAAGAAATCTAGTATTACTTTCGACGTCTTAATGAGTATTTTTAGATAAGTAAATTTAATATAATAGTTATTTTGTTTATTTTACATGCCTCTGTATTTAAGTGAATCGAATTGTCTAATTTTTAAGCATGTTGTGTGATTTACTGAAACTTGGTGAATTTGCATGTGATAAATGTAATATATAATCCGTGATAATAAAAAAATAAAATAAAAAACAGAGA